CGTTAACGTTAACCGTTAACCTAACGTAACGTACGTACGTACGTACGTTACGTACGTTACGTTACGTTACGTACGTACGTTACGTTACGTTACGTACGTACGTACGTACGTCGTCTCTCTCTCTCTCTCTCTCTCTCTCTCTCTCTCTCTCTCTCTCTCTCTCTCTCTCTCTTTGTGTGTGTGTGTAAGAGAGAAAGAGAGAGAGAGAGAGAGTGTGTGTGTGTGTGTATGTGTAGTTACAAAATTGATGTACAGACCTTTTATCCTAGTCTTATCAAAAAGGTAAATAGCGAAGCAGAATAGTGTGGAACAAATAAAAGCCAGTCCCACTGCAACAAAAGACATCCATATGTTAAGAAGGGTGTATACTTCCAAAATATTTCACAGGGCTAACATCATGCATAAAGAAAGTAATCATTATGACAATCGATATAGCCATCAAAAGAATTTATGGAGATCAATATAAGAAATTACGGAAAATATGCAATACATGGGAGTGAGGGCAGCCAGAGGAACAAGGCATACAGCAATTATAAAGCCCCAGTTGGCAATAGGACCCCAAAAATGAGTGGTCTTTGGTCCCATTGGGTTATTCCAGAAAGCCTTTAGGGCAGCCATTGGAAAATAATGAGATGCCACTTCTGTGCTGCCTGAAACGTTTCAACTATAAACATATAAGCTCACTTGATTAAATCGTAATCCCATTCTAAACCAAACCAGGGAAGATGAAAGAAGTCGATTGAACCATTCAATACATAAACATTCTCACCACGGGTCACAAACCCATCAAATGGAACATTTATATGAAATGATAACAAAACAATTGACACAAAATAGAGCCAGCATATACAAGAAACTGATAAATTCATGCATTACATAAGTATTATTCAAATAAAAGCAGAAACAAGCACAAACTGATTTTTTTTTTTAAACTGTATACTGTCGTATTGTATTAAGTAGAGATGTACAAGTTATCAAAAAATAGCCTGGCCACAAACTGATTTTTTTTAAATGGTAATGAATTGATAATAGGTACACTACAGCTCACGTTTCACAAATTACATATACATAATGTAACACATGTGGCCCCTTAACAGAGGAAGTTGGTAACTCGTACATCTCTTACCACCTTGCTGCGCTGACCAAGATGACTCGCACTAAGTTCCAGATGTATTAGGCTAAACTCTGATCTTCTTGAGGAAACCAGGCCCAGGTGGCTAACAAGGTATCCTTAAAGATGCAAAGGGATCCTCATTACTGGTATTCAGAAACATTTTCTTTCTAGACTCGTCACTTAACTGAGGGCAAAGCAATACTCATGGAGCCCAAGATTTGCCAACCACTAAAGAATGAAGCATTGGTTGCAGAAGGCAATTGCATTAATGCTATAAAATGGGCTTGTACGAGGAACCATTGCCTCAGCAATAATTGACATCTTTGAGAAGTTTTTGAATTCATGTATTCATGGATGTATTTCTTTTCATCATGAGTAAGGATGCTAATATAGAGTTGGTGCATTGGAAAATAGTGGGGTGTGGGATGTGATGTATTATTTGTACAGAAGGCACCTCAATTTTTGAGAGGCCATCTTGAGACCTAGCTTCATTCTTTTGAAATCTTCATTTACATTGTAGGTTTTTTATGGAACGTTACTTATCAAAAAACTTGCACTTGTACAAAGACATACATAATCATAAAAGAGAGCATAATGAGAGGACAAATATGAACGACATGAAAAGAGCATAATGAGCATAACAAGGGAAATAAAATAGAAGTGCTGGACTGCATGCCAAAAAGGAATAGAGTTAATTCCCTTCAGCCAGAGATCCTCTACTAATTTCATGTCATATCAGCTAGACAATCATAGGAACCACTCTAGAGAAGATAATATAACATAGAAATACTTCCAATATTGAGAAACGATTACTGAAAACCATGAATAACAAGAACCAAACACCTAAAAAGGCAGATACGTTTCTAAATAAAGGTATTACCTTCCAACAAGATATCTTCACTAAAAAATTTAAAGGGCACTACGAGCTTCTCAAACAAGACCACTTCCAACATCTCAATACTAGAATTTATTACATGCTGAGGCTCAATAAGAATCTACATTTTCTGAGCATGTTCACGCTATCAGTAAATTCATATCATCACTTAAAAGTTACTACATAACCTATATAATAAAATTTCATAAATCATATTCGTTTATGCATGTTCATAATGTAGTTATAGGTATTCTTAACTTTTATCTTTTTAAAGAATAGTTGGAAATTTAAGGGGAATGTCACAGTTTCATTCACTATCATTCCCATGGAGATGAGGAGCATTCTGGTTGTAAATTAAACTCTCGAGTAATTTACTAAGGTTATGAAATTCATGTAAATGAGAGGAAAACATCAGAGAAAAAGTGAAAATAATCAAAATATGCAATCTCCTGAGTTCATTAATTCAGAGAAGAGTTATGCTAATGAATTCAAGAATCTTGATTCATAAGTTGATGTTTTACATATAGCAAGGTGGATTGGTGCATGTTATCTACTCATTCCCCATGTGATCAACCTCATTTCTGGAGATGATTTCAATTGGCAGGATGCATAGAGATTGGCTTTTCAGTCTACTTGATTGTTCTTCATCATAAAGAAAAAGGGCCTCCTTGAATCAGCTCTCAAACTGAAGGATTTATGGTTATTTTCTATAGAAAATTAGAAATTAGGGGGATGCAATGTAATCTAGACATTACAAAAAAAATTCACTAGCTTTTCGCCTTCAAGAATAAAAAAAGTGATAGAAATGTTGCAGAGATTCACGGTTATGAATGTAAATATCAGCGAGTAGAGAGAGAGGGGTACCTGGTTTTAAGATGGTATTCGCCCTCCTGTGCTGAAATTCCCTTTAATGAGTGGGAGGAATGATTCTCAAGGACCTTAGGTTTGTGCGCTATTCATTGATTCCATATACTATGCTCCCGCGGGAGTATATGTCCTTAAGCCAAACGACAAAAGACCGATCATTTTTATAGGCCTGAACAAATTGGTTATGAATGTCAATACCTTGAGTACTATTGGATTAGCTTGCCTTCAAATTTTAGGCTAAACCGAAGCGAAGTGGAGCTTAATGTTGTCCCTATGGTCAGCTTCGAGTCGCCAAATCGACCAAAGCTTCGGTTCTTTCGGCTAAAGCAAAGAAATATCTATATAAATATATTTTTTTATTTTTAAAAATTTTATTTTAAATTTTTTATTATTTATATATAAATATTTAATTTATTTATATTATATTAAAAAAAAATCCAAAGTCTTCTTCTAAATCTGTTGAAATACCGAATTACTTCATTTTTTTACCAAATCAAAAAAGATGTCGAAGCGAATCTGACAACATTGGCCACAACGGCTCATACACCGCACAAGGCAAGGGCATGCTTCTTCTTCTACTCTACAAAACTAGTTTCAAACCGGCCTAGGAAGATTTCCTACTCAAGTACTCCAATCAGTAGGGCCTCGATCATTTCACTCCCTCAAATCCTAGCTTCTTGAAAACACCTATAAGCAAGAGTATATCGACATCGCATCATACCTTACATTTACGTTAGACTTGGATTGGAAGCTCTAGGTCGGGCTTCTTTCAAGGAAGGACACTTCCTCAAACACTTAATAGAAATTTTGGGAACCACCTAAGAATTATTAGATAATTATTTTTAGAAGGAAAAACAAAAAAATTGAATTTTGAGGTTTTTTTGGTACCTAAATCTTGGTATTAAAATATTGGACAGTCTATATTCAATTTTGAGACATTAGTGTTTTCTAATATATAGAGTTCAATTTTTTGTTGAGGTTGATTAAATTTTCAAATTTAGAGTCCTCAAATTACTCGTATACTAGTTTTACCCAGGGAGTAAATAGATATACTCGAAGGCGTAAATAGAAGGATATTCTACTCGCATGGGTGTATACGCTCTTTATTCCCGAATGCAAAACGCCACCTACAATTAATTGCGATCCCAAATTTTTTGGGCATATAACCGCTTTAAAACATATATTAACCTCAATAAAAAATTTCTAATTGCACCTCTAAACACATGAAACAAATAATATCTCCAGATGGAATATAACCCGTCTATTTTTTTAAAGGTAAGATCTAAATGTAGAAAACTCAAATTTTAATTTTTTTTTAAGGGAAAAGTTTCTATACTTCCCCTATTGCATGGAAGATCTATGCTTCTCCTAACATCCAGCCGCCCAATTTTGATCAAGAGAGCCACTCACCATTTGATCTTAGATCTAACGTCTTAAAGTATTTTATATTCATTAGTCGTGGGAGGCAAGGCACACAGGGGGATAGG